AAACGAAGAAGCAATTCAAAAATATTCGATTGAAACAGAATAAACGAACGAGGTTGATGAATTGAGCAAGGGAGGCGAGCGAATGAAGGCGAACTGACTCAGGCCAATGAGAATCGAGCAAGGTTATTTCGAGATGTAGTAACCTCAAGAAGAGCTTCTCATCATCAGAATCCCACTGTTTACATCGTACCTAAAATTCGCTGCCTTACTCATGTCTAAATCATATTTAGAAATATCGCTATGTTATGAAAAAGTCGAAGAATAAGAAGAGTCTGAAACGAAAAAAAAAAACAAACCGCAATATGTTGAGCAAGTGTTTGCAAAGTTTCTAAGACAATAAGAGCAACTTCTTGAGTCAAGTTCGACTCTTGCAGTACACTGAAAGGCGTTGTTGTATCGTCCTTATCATCACACACACTCAGTGATGGCAACTGAGCGTTTGATAGGCCGGGTGCTGGAAGGTATCAAATCATTTAGTTGATGGCGATCAGAAAATAAACATCATGAATTAATTGATTACTCTGAATTCAATGAACTGATTTTCAATTCCTCATTCCGATAGTACTAATAATCCGATAGAAACAGATAAGTTTTGTTTATGTTAACATTATGATCATACTATTTCGTGAAGTACCAAAATTAACTCCATTTAGACTGGAACGAATGAAAGAGCACGTGATCAGGACTTGAGTGTTAATGTAGCAATAACTTATGAACGATGTGAATGATTAGTGAGTGTTATGAAAAACGTGAATGAGCGAATAAAACGTGAATTGTTAAGGTAGACACCGGTGCCCATTGATGAAACACCACTGGACGTTGAGGCATGACTTTCGATGGTTGTTGAGCACGAAGCATTTGTTGAGCCCGATGTTGTCGTTATCACCATCGTACGGCGTGTACCACGAATTCTGAAATGTTCCCATACAATATGTCATACCAAATTCAAACGCTCTCCCTACATACCGTTACTTAACATAGACACTGACTAGCAGATAATATTTCTGCGTTGCCGAAATGTTTACCTGCTAGTCACTGTTCTCTAAAACTTCTTTTTTTTTCTTTTCGGTTTCCTCCACTGCAACGTCCCTACAGGAAACAAAAGAAACTGCACTGGGGATTCGGCAGTGGAATTTTTTGATTAATTCCGTATTTCGATACAACCACTGCAACCAACAGGATATACTAGTGACTTTTGACCCGACGGGTCTATTTTGCTAATTCTGATCGAAAACGTCCTTACGAAAAATTGATTCACCAATTTGCTAAAAAGATGCGATCGTGAATAACAAACTTATTGGAAGTCCGCTGGAATGCATCTTGTTTGCCACGATACTTGAACAATTCAAGTGCGACCTCTAAAAGTCGTATGAAACTGAGAACAGAACACTGAGCAATACTATCATTTTGCAACCAAATAGCACGTAAAACGTCACGAGGTATTTTCGATAACACGTATAAGGTACATAACATCAAATCACGGCATTCGTTCTGAAACATAAACATCAATTCATTATTTCTTCATGAAGTTTATTAGCACTTTATTACGGTAGAATTTTGATCAACATTGATAAGTTCATAAAAACATTTGAAAAAAACAACGAAGTCATCTTTCCGATTCATCATTCGAAAGTATCGCTTTGGCAAAACATTGTTGGCCATTGACGGTTGCTGACAACAAATGAACAGCGAAACTAACCTTGTCAAGCTTTTCAGTAAGAGCAGCAATATTGGCCGTGTTCATATTGGGTAAGGAGTTAGGAGGCGGAGGTGGGGGTGGAGGTAATACGGGAGGATGGCTTTGGGGTATTTTGAGCGATTCACCGGCTAGCGATGGGAGACGCTGTGATGCTGAAGTGAGCGATGCACTACGCCATTCGGATGACACTGAACGATGCTTGCGAACCGCTGCAATATCAACACAGTTATTTTCATTACTAAATTTACCGTCATAGTTAATATTTCTCTAATGACATTATTATTAAAACTATGATTACTATTCGAATTGATAATCCTAAAACGCATATAGCACTGATGATCGCGAACAAAATTTTTTAAATTTTTGTTGAACGAAACAAAACCACGAACCGACTGTGTTAGCAGGAGAAATATCTCGCGTAGGTGAACGTTGTGGTGAACGATCGACTGCTTTCACAGTAACTTCCAATTCATAAAGATTGTCGACAACGAACGGAAGTAACGGTGCATACAGAACCGATATGCGAGTTTGCGCTTCCTGAATACACATTGTGACAAAATTAAAAAGGGCAGTGCATACTCTGCATTTTACCAATCGATGGTCGAAAGGAAATTGGTTCACTAGTTTAACTTTGTCATCAATAAAACTGAAGGCACACCAGAAGGGTAATGGAACTGAAATGTTCAATGAACAAATTGTGCAATGTAGATTGCAAATGCATGACTATATCTTCTACGATAAGATGAAGAAAACGTGAAGTGGAATAATGAACATACAGCATTTGAGTATCGCTTATCAGCCGCATGCTTAGCGAGTAGATTTCTGAGTAACGCAATGCTGCGACGTCTGTAGTCTCGAGGCTCACGTAACGATGCAAGCAACTCTTGGAATAACAATCCAACAAGAAAATGTCTTGAACAATACGAATCACTCAACCAAAATTCATCAATATAGCGCACATCTGAAATTNTTTTTTTTTGGATAAATTCACACTGAAATGCACTAATGGAGAAATGATAACATGTGTTCTTACTGATTTTGATGGATCTCTAAAACGGAACCAACTGAATGACTGCTATGAGCTACCTATAGCCAAATAGAAAATGCAGTGTTGCGTCAACGCCTGTTTCTGATTCGTATGCAACTGGAGAGATATATTTGCGATTGTTATTCAGCAAATAAAAATCAACGATTCACGGTGTTTTATGCCTCTTGATGATTGCGTTACAAAAAAAAGACTTTCTTGAGTATCACACAATCATTAAATTATACGTATTTCTTCGAACACTTTTTCAATAATATCGCACAAAAACGATTGACTCACATCGATTTGTCTCTAATGGATCGTTGCAAACGTTCGATGTGAAAAACATCTTGGAGAAGAACGACGATATAAATGTACTTGCTGACGACGTGTTAAAATTTGTAACACTTGGTGCTGAAATTTTGTTTTTTGTTTATCTGAGCAGTCCTCGAATGATCGAGGTTTATTTTAATAGCAATAAGAAATAATTGTTCAATTGGTAGTAAGTTCGTTTAAAAGGTAATTAATTCAAAAATTTTCTTTTCAGTGCTTTCTGAACAATCATCTTTCATCGAAGAATCGTTCAAGATTATCTTCTTCATAAAGCATCATCAATATTTC